CTAACAGGAAGATGTGGCAGGGCCTGTGTTGGTCTGACAGGTCCAACTCACAGGGAAATTATAGGTGGGGAACAAAGCAGTCTGATGATAATTTGGAATTGGTTCTGACTTTTCCCTGATGTCCTTTTGATTGGGTCATGGCTATTAGGAGGCCTGCTGTTGGGCAAGGCAGTGTCTCAGAGAAACCTTCAACGAAAAGATCCTCACTGGCTTCAGCTGCTTTGGCCTGAGCAAAAATGCCTGCAGCAGCCAGTGCTCCTAGAGGATGCTGCATCCTCAGCACCTAGCTTGGTACCACTGGCTGCTGCAGTGACATCCCGAGAGCTGCACAGCAGCAACGATGCTCAGTCTAGCTGTGCACTAGAAACCAAGCCCACTCAGTCTTGCATGCTGAGCAGTCTAGGAATGGAAAATGGGGCTCTGCAAACAAAACTTTGTCTTCCACTCCCCAACTCATAGCCTCTAAAACCAAATAATCCAACTCAACCCGCCTGCTCCTGTCCTTCCACGCCTCCCTCCCACACTTCCATACATAGCTCCTTGGCTACTCTCACACACCTTGAACATCACCCATTTTTGCACAAGAACACAGAACCTATTTATAGCCATCATTGGGCAGTAACTGTTGAAATCTAAGAAACCCTTTACACTTAGGAGGCCAACATTTTTGGAGGACTGAATGCGCAAGCAGAAGAGGAAAATGACAGTGAACCTCATCAACCATTTGTTGAGCGCCTGGTATAAGCCAGGCTCCCTGCACCCTCACAACAGCCCTCCGAGGAGGAGGCTACTGTGACCCCCATTGCGCAGACTGAAAAAAACACCCTCCTCACCAGATCAAGGTGCCAGTTTGACTTCCATTTTCTCTTTCACTTAACAGGTCTCCAAATTTCAGCTCAGGGCCCTAGTCCACTCAACACAAATCAAATGCCACTTCCAAGAAAAACACTCTATGCCTTTCCGGGTGCTTCTCACCCCAGCAACCAACAGACTCTCTTGAAGGTAAAAAATGGCGTCACAAATTAGGCACGAACTAATTCCTCCCTTAAATCTCGCTCTATCCTTCCAAAGTCCAGCAGTGCAGCCGTGCTCACTCCTCTGAACACCCATTCCATCACAAAACGAAAGAGGCGCAGTGTCGGGAGTTTCTCTCATCTCTGAACTGCTGTGCACGACTTCCCTACCCATAATACACGGATCTTCTGCTCACTTATTCCATCCAGTTGCCAAAGAATTTCAGCAAACCTACTATATACGCCAAGCGTTAGGGCAGTTGTCCCTGCCCACAAGGAACTTAAAGTCTAGTCAGAAAGATAAATGAGAAAAGATAAAAACCGCAATACAATATAACCATAGCACGCCTTTAGAATCAGATTCCAAGAGAACAGAGAATGTATTTGCTCTACACTGCAATATCCCCTGAACCAGAGCAGTGCCAGGCACACAGCAGGCATCCAACAAATACTGAACGAATGAATGAATGAATGCATGATGCCATAGTGTATATAATGCAATAACAGTTATAACACTTGCCAAAGATGCTTGTCGCTACTATTCATCCAGCACTTCCTAGTGCTGAGTACTGTGTCAGGCACTTTCCAGCGGTAATCTCATGTCATCATGACCACATTACCACAATGCAACCCTTATTATCCCCATTTTGCTGATGGAGAAACTGATGTGCAGAAAGTTCAGCTCAAGATTCCACAGTCGGTAAGCAACAAACCAGATCTGTCCCGCTCAAAAGCCTGTGCTGCTCCGAACCATTAGGCACACGGTGACCCAGTCTTGAAGGGCAGGGAATGCTCCCAAAGAATGGGATGAAGTGAAGGGACAGAGAGGGGAAAGTTCAAAGCATAAGGAACATGTGCAAAGACCGGAAAAGCAAACCAAGGAGGAGATGAAACTTTTCCCAGTTAAATGCAACGAGTTTTATAAGCTCTTTTCACAGTTGCTGACAGCCTCTCTACTCAGATGTGAGCACTTCGAGAGAAAATACTAATAACTCCATAGAATCCGTTTAAGCATGGCAATTCCTACATCGTTCAAGTGACTAGATCCAACCCCTAGCTATTTTAAATTCAGAAGAACTCCAGACCCTGTAACTTATGGAAGGCGAGCTGGGTGAGGAGTCATGAGAAGGAGCAACCCTCAAGCCCATCTCTTAGTCTTCCCTCAAAGACAGGAAAGTCATCACTCCAAAGACACACAAGGATAAGAATCCAGTGGCTTGCTAAAGCAACTCCGTAAAGTGATCTACCAATTCCACACTTAAACTCCAAACTTCCAATCCTATTGCTTCTTCTGATCCGAGAAATGAAGAAGCAATGTCAGGACCATGCCTCACTACATTCTAAATAAGATAAAGTAAATGCTGCCCCTTTTATTTACCTATGTGGATCCTACAGCAAACTGTTTTAATCTTGTCAATAAACACAAACTGAGCATCAATTGTCTATAAGGCGTTGCACTATATACACTGAGCATATAATAAAAATTAATACATTCTATTGGGGGCAGACAGACAAGAAAACAAAAAACAAAAAATAAGAGCACTTCAAAAAGTGATGAGTGCTGTGACAAAACTGAACAGGATGATGGGCTAGAGAGCGAATGGGGGAAGAGAGGCCTTTGGCTATTCAGGCTATGACCTGAAGGATGAGGACGAGACATCTGGGAAGAGCACATCATCAGCCAGGAGGGAAAGCGGGAAAACAGCAAGAACAAAGCCCCTAAATGGAAATGAGCTTGGTGTGTTTGGGGCAAGGAAGGCCATTGTGGTTGGAGCACAGTGCATGAGGAGAGGGTGGAACAGAGTGAGTACAGAAAGACAAAGAGGGGTCAAGTCAGGTATGGTCTTGTAGGTCACTGGAAAGATTTGGGACACTAAGTGCAATGAAATGCCACTGGAGGCTTTTAAGCAGCAAAGTAACATGAACTGATTTTTGCTTAAAAGGTTCACTCTGAATGTCATCAAAATGGATACATATTAGTGATACACAGTAGTGAGCTGGCCCTTACTTTACCATGTAGTGCACGACACTACAGATGCCATCTGATAAAGACAAAGAATTCATCCACACGCCAGCAACCTCTACAGTCCCAACAAACAAGTGAAAAGTACCTCTTGATGACCAGCTGCTTGGACTTCCAAGAACGTGCTTTCAAATAAGTAAGACCACTTATTTTGAAGCCCAACTTCCCCTCTCCCTTTGTCATTCTCTCCATAGATGAGGGTGAAAAATAAGGTTTTATGCCCAAGGCTAGTAAATCTTACCATTTTGAAACAAGTCCTGAAAAGAGACAGAAGAGCTGTGTTTCAGGGGCGCCAGGGAGGAAGCATAAACACCTTGCTAACATTTCAGTTGGAGCACTGTACTGAAACCCCAAGACCAAGAGAGAGGAGACGAGCAATCCATGTCTACAGTCAGGGGCCTCCTGATTACTTGGTTGGTCTGATGCGATGACTGATGCCAGCCCACAGGGTGATGCAGAAGTCAAGGCATTAAAGACAGTTCAGCTTGACTGTCATCATCTGCTAAACAACCAATACAGGAAAACACTATTTCAGCGTCCAACATATCAAAAGGCAGCCCACATGAGGCTATATCTGTGGCAACACCATGCCAGAAATCTGGGCTAATCTGACTCTGCTATTCATAAATTCTCCCTCATGTTAAAGCACATGTGTTTTGGAAAGGAAAATGAATCCAAGTCAATTTTAGACATTGTTACTTGGAAACCATCTGGAGTCCCTGGAAGCATGAGAAGCCACCACATCCCCTGCCCTCAAATGCCCACTGTAATTAGGGCAGTATGCTTACATGGGAGTTTAGTGTCCCCACCCCCACCCTACCAGATGCCAGTTCAGGCTCCACTTCCCACCCAAGAAAGGTATTTCGTTTCTTGGTAAACCTAGTGGAGAGCCCTCGATGTGTTAAGCTTGCACTTGAATTGCACCCAAGGCTGGGTTCTCTGCCTCCCGCTTGCTTTAGAAATGCACACCTGAATTCCTCTGCCACAGCAGCAACGGAAATCTCTCCCCAGGGGCAGAAGTTCCATGAAAAATCCCCTCTACCTAACAACCTTGTGTTCAGAGCATATCTAGCTTTGGAAGAGACCCACCAGAATCCTTACGTAACGTTAATAGATGCCGGCACCCCGCAGAGCCGCTCCTGGAGACACTAGCCCAGATGTAGCCCATTTTCACTGTGATGACAGCAGGCTGGGTCTTGCAGCTTCCCAGGGCCTGGCTCTTCCTCACTGTGGGGCCTCTGTCCCCCTCCCCTACCTGGCTGTGATCTTCTGCTTATCTCATCTTCCAGAGGAGTTGGGCCTCCCTTTCTGCAGCCTCCCTCTCTCCACTGAAATCAGTCCTAGGACCAAGCCGACAGCAGCGCCATTCCACCAGCACCTTCCCTGCCCCCGCTCCCCCCACCCCTTCAGATCCTCTCTCCACCACCTAACGCCTTAAGAAACCCGGCCAGGAAAGAGATCCAGAATCTCGTACAGTCATAGTCCCAGAAAACAAACGGCAGGACGGGCAGGCTCAGCTCTGCCAAGCCAACCAGGCCCAATTCTTCCCCTGGAGCCGGCGCAGGGGAGGGATCTTCGGTTCGGCTGCCTCCAGCACAATCAGAGCAAACACCTGTTTCCAGGGAGCTATGCGGCCAGAGGGAGAGGCAGTCCCGGGGAATGGCAGGGAGGACGAGGTGAAGGGGCAGCTAGGGACGCAGGTAAAGGATGCGTCACACTTTGCACTTGGCAACCGGAGCCGCGGAGCAGCAGGCAGAGCGTGAGAAGGGCTCCGGGGTCTGGGAAGTTCAGAGTGGAGGGGTCGCTTCTGCGAGCGGCGCCCGGAGAGGGCCAGCGCAGGGGAAGGGACGGCGGGGAAGGAAGGAAGGGGGACTGGAGGCCGGGCGGGCTCCATCACCTGCGCGCCCCGGCGGATGCAGCCTCGCAGGCGCGCACCGGCCCGCGGCTGCCAGCGGGTGACCTACCTGCCCACCGTCTGGTTGGCCAGCTGGCGCATGCGATTGAACTGCTTCTTCATCGTGGCCCCGCTGCCGCGCTAGCCCGGGAGCTGGGGGAGGACGGAGCAGCGCGGAGCCCGCCGCAGGGTTACATGGCTCCTGTGCGGAGCCTCCCGGGCGACGGCGGCGGCACTGCGGAGCCTCCGGGAGCCGTCTGGCCCGCGCGCGGCTCCCTCCCGAGGGCACCACCGCCTACTCCTCCTCCCGCCGCGGCGCCCGCTGCCGCATCCTCCTCACGCGCGCCGCGGCGCCTTCATAGTAACGCCCGGGGCCGCCCTCGGCGCCGGCCAGGTCAGCCCGGGCTGCCTGCCCCCAGCCCCGGCCCGGCACGGGGACCCGGGAGTCTCCTAAGGCTGGCTAGCTCGCTGGCCGGGTGGTCCCCGCTGCGCCTGTGCGGAGGGCGCCGTGCATTCTGGGACTTGTAGTTTCGCATCCTGGCGCCCACCTTTCCTCTGTCCAAAGTTTTGCAAGTACGGTGGAGTGCGGAGGCGGGAGAAGGCGTCGTCGCCAGAGACTTTGCACTTTAGCATTTTAGGAACGGAAACGTTTTTCTGCTTTAAAAATAACAAGGTGGAACCAAGAATACAACAGCAAATAAAGAAAGTGAGCATCAGTCTTGCATTTTAAGTGAATGTGAGGCGTTGCTATCGTGAATTCACAGGAGGAAGATTTATGCTAGCAGGCACGTAGCTCCTAGAATTGAATAAGGTCACGTGATTAATGTTAAGACTGGGTTATGCTTGGGTTATGCTTGGAGCACAGGGGTTGACTGGTAGATTTTGGACCAAGCATAGCATGCATCCCAGAAATTTGATCCTTAATTTTCACCAAACCCAATAGGTAACCAGAGCCAATATGGAAGGATATAATGATAGTGGAATCATGTCTACGGGCCCAATTTGACTGGGACAGCTTTCTTAGATGGCTTAGCTTCCAGTCTCATAACTGTTCTCGTTTACTTTCCACCGAAGGCGACCAAGGGACATCAGCTGTGGCAGGCAGGCCTGGAACGTCCTACACAGAGCAGCCCATTGGCATCAGTTGGCTCCTGAAAAGGGGCTCTGACTTGCTGCAGGCTCTATCCTCAGGAAAAGATAGGTGATTGCAGGTAGTTTTCATCATTATCTATTAAGTAAGAGCAGTATTGTTGGTGGTAGGGGCTTTGGATCAAACAGATATGATTTCACATAATAGAATTCCAAATACCAATTATATAACCTTAGGGGAAAATTGCATAACCTCTCTAAGCCTCAGTTTCCTCATCTCTAAGAGAGAAATAATACTGCTTGATAGATAGAGAGCTATTTGGTAAAATTACCAATAATCAAATAATATGTAAATTTCTATGTAGTACATTGTCATATTCATTTACTACAAATATGATTATAGTGAGCATAATAGAAAAAAACTATTCCTACAACAGAATTACTAATTTGATAAATGAAAGAACTATTTTGCATATGTTGATTATAGTTGCAAGATGTCCTAAATCTGGTTCTAAGTATCTTGCTGGCCAGCTGAACAAAAGATGGTTTGAGGCATGTCATGGCTGAATGAACATGAAATCTTTAATTAATCGTGAGTTTAGCCTCTGCTTATTAGGTCAGCACTTCTAGCCAATTAATAAGTGAAGGCATTATTTGCTTTTAACCAACTGTCCTATGCCTATAATTTTTATACATTTTGAGGTTTTTTTAAAAACCAAGGCACAGCATGGTTTTTATATGTGTAAATGATAGCAAGACTTTAAGGGCACTGTATGACTTTTAGCAACACTATCTCTGGTAACGTCTGGAACTCTACTGTCCAATATAGTAGCCACCAACCATATGTGGCTATTGAAAATTAAATTAACTAAAATTTTTTTAAAAATTAATAATTTAATTGCTCAGTCACCCAAGCCACATTTTAAGTGCTTAATGGCCACATGTGGCTGGGGGCTGCTGTATTGCACAGCACAGATACAGGACATTTCTGTTATCTCAGAAAGTTCTATTGGACAGCACGAGTCCTAGAGGACCCCGGTAGACAATTCCAATATCATGCCAGCCCCTGCCTGCAATTGTAAGATATTTCAGTTCTAAGAGGGAAATCTCTGCTTCTCTACAAAAAACAGCCTACTCTGCTAGAGTGTGGTCCAATAATATTTTATTAACTGATGGTTTCTTCACGTTTCCTCTTTTCTATGAGCTTTTCCTCCATTCAGGAAGCAGCCAATGCTTTTTCTGCTTCCTACCCCAGCGAAGGGATGACAGTGCAGAAAAAAGAGAAACAAGTGTCAAGTCTATTCTTTTGACCTTTCAAATCAAGCTTCAGAAACACATGTGAGAGAATAGAGTTGTTAAAGAAAAGCATTTTGAATTTCAACAATATGGGCTTTGGAGCTCTAATAGCCTATGTCATAATAGTAGAGTTTGAATATGTACTATCCTGCCTGGTGTGGATAACGAACCCACAGGCTGCGGGGCATTGAAGATGATGAGAGATGAGTGGGCGGGGAGAGAGGGAGAGGAAAAGTAGATGATCAATGCGCAGATTTTGTTATTGTTCAAAAATTTCGCTGCCTATCCCTATGGGAAGGGATTATACTTCACCTTCCCATCAAGGTCATAATCGATCATGTGACTTTCTTTGGACAAAGAATATACACAGAAATGAGTTATGCCACTTCTGAGCAGAAGTGTTAATAGTCCTTTTGTGATCCTGCCCCCTTCTCTTTTTTCACTCTACCATAAAACCAGCAATGAACCAGTTAGGGGCTTGCTGTGGAACAGAGTCAGGGCCATCGAGCCGGAGTGAAATTAACATACCTTTGTTGCTGTAAGTCAGAGGTTTGGGGATTGTTTGTTACTGCTGCATAATTGAGTCAAAGCAGACCACTACAGTGGTATCTCTGAGGCAGTGACTTGCACCTTGCCCCTTCCCATGGTCAAAACTTTGATTGGGGGCAGTCATGTTGGAGGCAGATATGATCAACATCTTTGGGGGATCTGAGCAAGTGGGGAATCTGTGCACCACTTCTTCAGTGAAGGCTAGGAGTGGCAAAGCTCACAGAGATCTTCTGCTTGTAAGGCACAGGAGCAGTAAAGATGTTTATGTGGAGTGCCTGAAGTGCCTAAACCACAGTCCTGTGGAAGCCCCAGAGGTCCCTGCCCCAAGCCACGTGGAAAGATTTGTTGTATGTGTGTACCATGAGGGTACAGAAAAGTTCCTGAAAGAGCTGGATGTGAATACTGTTAGGATCAAAGATGAAAAGCAGGCAGCAATTGCCAAGATGTGGAATCAAGAAGCCCTGCACTGCCTGGAATTTAATTTCTGCCGCCAGAAGAATAGACATAAAAGTAAAGTTAAGTACATTTGAAGGAGGAGGAGGAGAAGAAGAAAGAAAATTCTATTCCTTTACCGTACCTGACTTTGACCTATGGGAGGATTACACTTCTTACTCCTGTTGATCTTCCATTTGGCCACATGACTTGCTTTCACCCACAAAATGCAGACTTCTTACTTGCTTCAACAATTTTGTAGTACTGTTTATCTGAGATATATTTCCTTTGACATCTGATATTCCACCTAGGACCCCCCAAATTAGAGTGGTTTAGCATCTTCATTCTGAGTCCAAGCATTCGCTAGAGCTGTCCTGTCCAATATGGGAGTCACTAAAGACATGCGGTTATTCAATTAATTTTAAATTAAGTTAAATAAAATGAGAAATTCAGTTTCTCAACTACACTAGCCACATTTTAACTACCAATAACCACATGTGGCTAGTGGCTACTATATTCGTGTAAAATAGAACATCTCCATGATCACAGAAAGTTCTATTGGACAGTGCTGGTCTATAGACAGCATTCAAAATACAGGGTCCAGCAGAAGAGAGAACACTGAACAGGAGGTGACAAGTTCAGTATAGTTATGGCCAGTCATTTTACTTGACCTCTCCAGGCTACTCTTTCCTCACCTGCTCTGTGGAGGTTTATAGCAAAAGATCTCTAAGCCATAAGTTTTGGGGAATCAACTAATTGACCAGTCTATTTGTTCAATAAATTGCTGTTGGCCTAGATATGCCTAAGCCTTCCAGTATTTAGTATGTCCAAAATAACATTCTGTGGTACACTGTAACTGAAGGATATCACTTATCCTTTTCAGATTCCAATCACCTTTATACCTACAGGTATCGAACTGACACCATTAAAGCATATCTGTTAGTCCGAGGTATCTTTTAAACAGGATGATAGATGTTCTCAACTTTGGGCATTATCAACTCCAATTTTTCAGCCCTCCTTGGATCTATACCTTTGCCAGAGCTTTATCATGGTCAGAGTGATGTCCCTAACTAGTATCTTTGGACTTGACTATGTGACAGCTTTGGCCAATGACATATGGGTAGAAGTGACACCTGTCACCTCCACACTGTGTTAGAGGCTTTGTATATTTTCCTCTTGTCCTCTTCACCTCTGCCACTGTCGTAAGAAGAACTACCCGCAGGTGGTGACTTTTTTCTCCCCTTGGGCTCCAGAACGAACATGTGGAGCAGGCCTGATACAGACCACAGCTGAAATTAGAGGAGTAATTAATAAATTCATTTTAGGACTGGTTATTTTAAAAGATAGATAAAATGAATAGATCTAGAGAAAGGGAAAAAGAAGAAAAACTGAAACACACAACTTTAGAAATGAGAGAAAGGATTTAATCACAGATACAAAAAAAAAATATGAGAGAATACTTTTGCAATTTTATGTTTACTTATTTTAAAATAAGCTCTTTTTTTCACTAGGAAAAATATGAAATTGCTACAGGTGTTTCAAAAATAGGTAGCAAGCATGAGTAGACCAAGAACACTGAAGAAGTTGGAAAAGTTGTCACAGAACAATACTCCCAAAAGTAGCCAAGCTCAGATGGTTTTATGGGGAGCTCTTTCGAAGATTCAAGGAACAGATTATTCCTCTGCTATTTAAAGTGTTCCAGAGCATAGAAATAAAATGAAAGCAACCCAATTCATTTCATGAAAGTGGCTTAACCCTGTTATCAAACCTGATGAAGGTAGCACAAACATGAAAACAACAAACCAATAACACAAGAATAGATATAAAAATTATTAATAAAATTAATTCACTTGATAAAATGTTAGTGAATAAAATATGATAGTATGTGTGTTTATATATAAATGTGCATACATTTTTTTTTCTTTTTTTTGTGAGGAAGATTAGCCCTGAGCCAACATCCATTGCCAATCCTCCTCATCTTGCTGAGGAAGATTGGCCCTGGGCTAACATCGGTGCCCATCTTCCTCTACTTTATATGTGGGATGCCTGCCACAGCATGGCTTGATAAGTGGTGCGTACGTCTGCACCCAGGATCTGAACCTTCGAACCCCAGGCCACCGAATCAGAGTGTGCAAACTTAACCACAACACCACCAGGCCGGCCCCCAAATGTGCCCCCATTTTAATGGTATTTATTGAAAAATAAATAATTCAGATACATTAAAAAATGAAACCCATTGAAATGCAAATCAAAACAACACTAAGATATCACCTCACGCCCGTTAGAATGGGTATAATCACCAAGACAAAAAACAACAAATGTTGGAGAGGATGTGGAGAAACAGGAACCCTCATACACAGCTGGTGGGAATGCAAACTGGTGCAGCCTCTATGGAAATCGGTATGGAGATTCCTTAAAAAATTAAAAATAGAAATACCCTATGATCCAGCTATCCTATTACTGGGAATCTATCCAACGAACCTGAAATCAACAATCCAAAGAGGCTTATGCCCCCTATGTTCATTGCAGCATTATTCACTATAGCCAAGAAGTGGAAGCAACCTAAGTGTCCCTCGACTGATGATTGGATCAAGAAGACGTGGTATATATATACAATGGAATACTACTCAGCCATAAAAAAAAATCGTCCCATTTGCAACAATATGGATGAACCTGGAGGGTATTATGTTAAGTGAAATAAGCCAGAAAGAGAAAGACAAACACTGTATGATCTCACTCACATGTGGAATATAAACCAACACATGGACAGAGAAAACTGTATTGTGGTTACCAGGGCAATGGGGATGGGGGGGTGGGCACAAGGGGTGAAGGGAGACATATATATCGTGATGGACAAACAAAAATGTACCCAAAATTTCACAATGTTATAAACTATTAAAACATCAATAAAAAAATAAAAATAAAAATAAATCATACAAATCCAATCAGGGAAACAAAATTAATACAAGACTGTCAACAATTAAGAGCTCGTTTCTATAGTATCTTTGCAACTTTTCTGTAAATCTAAAATTATTCCAAAATAAAAGTTTATTTAAAAAAAAATGAAACCCATTCATATTCTCAGTACCAAGATAGCAGTATGCGTTTATAAATATATTTCAAAAATGGGATCACACTGTTGTTAGGTCAATATGTTCTTTCCTATCTTCTATTATTCTAAATATTGCTGTAATTAACATGTTGGTGGCAAAAACTTCGCACATATACTCATTTTCTTAAGATAAAAATTAAAGAATTAGAATTTCTGCATCAAAATGTGTCATGTTTTCAAGCTTCTTGTTGTATTACCAAATTATCCTCTAAATAAGAAATTGAAACATTTTTCAAGCCCACCTACCATGTGCAAATGTTCCATTTTTCCCATACCTTGACTTACACTGAGTATTACCACTTTTAATAATCTTGCCCGATGAATATGTGAGAAATAGCATTACAGTGCTATTTTAATTTGCACTTGTTTTTTATCACATTAAATATTTTCCCACATGTTTCATGGCTATTAGTATTTCTTCTTCGGTTAACTGCTTACTGCTTTGTGTCTGCAGCCCGTTTTTCTCTTATGGGGTTCCATATTTCCTTATTGATTTTTAATAACTCTTTATTTATATAAAATATACTAACACTATTGTATCTTATGGCAAACGCTTTCTTTAGTTTGCCCTTTCCCTTTTAAAATCTCTAATGTTGCTTTTTGTCTTCTAGGAATTTTACATTTTTAATGTGGTCAAATCCATCAATATTTTCTTTACGTTTTATGCCTTTGGTTTAATGTTTAAAATGCTTACCCTAGCCTCAAAGGATAGAAATATTCAACTGTATTTTCACCTAAGCCTTTTATGTGTTAATTCTCTTTATTTATAATAAATTTTAAATTCAACGTTTGGGACCAAAATGTTAACTAAAGCCAGTAGTTTTGACTCATTTCTTTCTCCAATATCATTTTGAAATAACTCATCAAATGTAATAGAGAAATACTGTCACTCATGGAAGTTAGAGAAAGGTCCCACTCACAATCTTGGCAGAAAATGGTACAGGTGATTTTTAAGTGAGGGAGCACTGGCCAGGCAGAATTTACTACATGTGGTAACCTTTTGGGGGAAATTAAACAGAGACTACACCTTCTCTGATAGATGACCTCCCCCACACTCTCAGCCACCAAATATGGATGAACCAGACCTCTCTATGTGAGAATGAACAGACAGAAAAAAACACTCAGGGGGCTGGCCCCATGGCTTAGTGGTTAAGTGCTCACGCTACGCTGCTGGTGGCCCGGGTTTGGATCCGGGTGCGCACTGACGCACCGCTTCTCCGGCCATGCTGAGGCCGCGTCCCACATACAGCAACTAGAAGGATGTGCAACTATGACATACAACTATCTACTGGGGCTTTGGGGAGAAAAAGGGGAAAAAAAGGAGGAGGATTGGCAATAGATGTTAGCTCAGGGCCAGTCTTCCTCAGCAAAAAGAGGAGGGGTGGCATGGATGTTAGCTCAGGGCTGATCTTCCTTACAAAAACAAAAAAAAACCAGTCAGGAGTTCTGTATAACAGTGAAGATGATGATGATAATGATGATGATAATGATGATGATGATGACAATGACGATGAAGAGAATAAACCATATACCTAAGTACTACCACAAGTATTTCTCAACATACATTATCTTATTTAATCCTTAAAAGAATACTGGGATGAGGGTTTTATTATCCCCATCAAATAAATCAAAGCACAGAGGGTTTAGGTGAATAGCCATTCAAGTGTCACAACTGAGATTCAAATTCAGATTATTCTCGTTCAAATGCCCGTGCTTTTATTACAGGTTATTACCTCCATAAAACAGAGAGATGAATCTGAGAATTCAGAGAAATGGCCTTCAGTGAAAAAGTTAAGCAGGAAGTAAGGGAAATATAATTTTAAAGTCTAATTTGTATTCTTGATGGGAACTGAGAGAACATTGCTTTAATATGACAGGAGCCAGTTGCCATGAAAAAGAGCCATATTAAACAAGAAAGAGTTCTTGGATAAGAAACACATGACTTCCAAACTAATGAAACTCACTAGAGGCAGGAAATAGCAGATTTGGCACTGCCCAAAATGGAATTGGTGCATTCAAAGATGGGCTGGAAGAATGCTCCCAAAATTCAGAGGAAAAAAGTAGGTAATGCAATGAAATGATACGAAAAGGAATAGAGACATGAAATCTTTTTCAGAACATTCAAAAAATATGTAGTAGAATTTCGAGAGCAAATAACGAAGAAGAAATAAGCATGAAAATTCTAGAAAAACATTTTGCAGAGCCGAAGAAAGGCCCAAGTCAAAATTAAAATAATTCACCAAGTGCATGGTGGGGGGAGCCTAGACGTATCGTGGTAAAACTTCTGAATTTCAAAGATAGATACATACTGTATTTTATATTTGAAAATTGCTGACAGAATAGATCTTAAAAGTTCTCATCACAGGCAAAAAAAATTGTAAGTATGTGTGGGATGGATGTTAACTAGACTTATTGTGGTAGTCATTTTGCAGTATATGTGTATATCGAAACCTTATGTTATACACCTGAAACAATATAATGTGTCAATTATATCTCAATTTTAAAAAACCAACAAAAAAACAAAGATAGATACAAATGTATATAAGTGTTATTCAGAGAAAAGAAATTTGTGTCTGAAGAAAAGAGAAGCTGATTTGCCTCACACTTCGTACCTGCAACACTCAATGCCAATAAAATTTGGAGCCACATTTACAGAGCTCCAATGGAAATAGGTTGCAACTCAAGTGCGACTCAAGAAGTCTACATCTGGCCTAATATTCACAAACAAGGGCCAAAGAAAGTCATTTTTAAACATGTAATGACTGGAAATGTTTATCAGACACCCGTTCTCTAAAAAATATTACTAAAAAATTTTTTCTTCCCAAAAGAAATCAAAATCAAAATAAAGAACAAGAGAGAAGAATTTCTACGTGACCTTGGGATAGACAATGATTTCTTAAACATGACACCAAAAACTCTAACCTTGAAAATATTGATAAATTGGACTACTTAACAATTAAGGACTTTGGTTTATCAGATGACACCATTAAGAGAAGGAAAAAGTAATCCGCAGAGTGCGAGGAGTTATTTGCAATACATGTAACTGTTAAAGGACTCAGCTCCAGAATATATGAAGAATCCTACAGTTCGATAGGAAAAAGGCAGAAAACCTAAAAGAAAAATGGATGAGACTTCAACAGGCACTTTGGCACAAAGACAAGTGCAAATGGCCATGGAATATATGAACGGTTGCTCATCCTCATTAGTCATCCAATATATGCCAATTGATATTACAATGAAACACTACCATATGCCCACGGGATGGATAAAATTGAAAGACTGGCAAAACCAAGTGTTGGTGAGGATGTAGAGCAGCTGGAACGCATACATTTTGGTGGGAGGGAAATCAGTACAAGCACTTCAGAAAACCGTTTAGCGTTATCAGCTAAGGCTTAGCAGTACGTGTGCCCCATGACCCAACAATTTCTCATGTTCAGCAGAAATGTGTACACATTGGCAACAAAAGGAATGTGCTAGAATGTCTGTATCAGCAATATTTTTAATAGTCAAAAATTGGAAACAATTGAAATGTCCATCAACAGTAGAGTGGATAAATAAAAGGTGATATATTCATCAATGGAATACTATACAGCAAGGAAATTGGATGTGTTACTCCTGCAACCAATGATGGGTGAAAACGTGGATGAATCTCACAAACAAGGCTGAGCACAAAAAGCCAGATTCAGAAGAGCACACACTGTATGATTTCATTTACATAAAGTTCAAAAACAAACAAACAAAAAAAATCAGTGATAGTAGAAGTTAGGATAATGGGTACCTGTACAGAGGAGGGAAAGATACTAGAAAGAGATAGGATCAGTAGCCTGACCCCTGAACCATATCAGCTGAACAACTAGGGGTGAATGAAAGTGAATAGGGGTTCTAGGTCCCTCAGGTGGCTTATACTTAGGGTGACCATAGTCCTGGTTTGCCTAGGACAGTCCTGGATATGCCTATTGTCTCAGCCTCCTGTTGGATTTAGCATTTATACTGAACAAAAGCGTCCTGATCTAGATGATAAAAACATATGGTCACCCCCACTGGACCCTGGCCTTGCCAGACCTGGCACTGTGAACCCTTGCCAATTTGATGTGCTGCGGAAGCACAGAGAGTTCAAATCCTGTCCTGGGCTTGGGAGAGTAGCAAGAACACAGGATTCAGCATGCCATTCTACAGGGCCATGTTACTCAAAGAACTCCTCCTCACCCCAGAGGAGTCCAAGCTGACTTTGACCTAGAGGTCCCTTGCCTGAGCATGATACCAAGGCAGCAAGACCACACCTTTTGAGGAACTCCTTAGGCTGGTAGCAGCAATAAGTGGAAAGTCCCTGGACTTCCCTCTCGGCAGCTGTGGCACCAATTCCCTTGCCTGGAGGCCAGGAGGCAGGAGGCCTCCTGGAGGCCCATCTCAGAACAACCCATCTTTGATATGAGATTTTCTAGCCTCAAAGAATATACATTTGTGTTCCAGTCTCAATGGATCCTTCTTTCCATTTTTGGATACAAGGGCTTTCCTTGACATTTGGAGGTGAGTTGGGCTTTGGAGTGATAAAGTAGACTTTCTATTAATCTAGGTATGTGGGAGATCAGGGCTTCCACTTTGAGCCATTCCTGGGGGACCATGATTCATCTCCACTAAATGGTAAACATGATTATTCATTTACATTATTATTACTATTATTATTATGACAATATAATTACATTATTAGTAGTATTTGTAATGATTAATTTTATGTGTTAACTTGACTGGGCTAAGGGATGCCCACATGGCTTGTAAAACATTATTTCTGGGTGTGTCTGTAGGATGTTTCTGGAAGAGATTACATTTGAATCAGTGGACTGAGTAAAGAAGATCTGCCCTTCCCAGTCTGGGTGGGCATCATCTAATCCGTTGAGGGCCTGAATAAAGCAAAAAGTGGGAGGAAGGGGGAATTCTCTCTCTTTCTGATCTGGGATATCCATCTTCTGCGCTCGGACATCGGAGCTCCTGGTTCTTGATCCTTCAGACTCCAGCATTTATGCCATTGGCTCTGCTGATCCTCAGTCCTTCAAACTTGGACTGAATTACACTACTGGCTTTCCTGGTTCTCTAGTTTGCAAACAGCATATCGTGGCATATCTCAGCCTCCATAATAGTGTGAGACAATTCCCGTAATAAATCTATATATCTATATAGACTCCATATATCTATATATTTCTAGGTATCTAGAGATATCTAGATAGATAGAACTAGAGAGATATCTATATATCTACAGAGATATCTATATATTTCTATCTCTATATCTATACATACATGTATCTGATTGGCTCTGTTTCTCTGCAGAATCCTGACTAGTACAGTATTGCATCAACACTCAGTCCACTTCTAGTTTCTTGATCCCACCACTTCCTGTCGCCAATCTTCACTTGTTTCCCTAGAATAATACACTGTATACCACAGGGTTCACCATTTTACCTCCTCTTTAATCATATCCTCAACTATCTGGTTCTGCTTTCTTACTTTCATACCTATTCCTGCAGCATCCTAAACTTGGCTTAACCCACATCTTTGCCCTCTCTGCTTCCACTGCTGGGGTATCCGTGTCATTAATGGAAAGTCCCACTGTCACGCAATGGGGATAATCTCCAGCCAGGTTTTCCAACTCTGCCTAGGCATCCTTCTGTGTTTTGTAATCAGTTCTCACTGCTATTTTCTACTGCTCTTAATTCAGCCTTTCTCTATTTTTATTAAAACTTCTACCCTACTCTTCCTCTTCCTCCAATAGAGAAACATCATTTCTCTCTCTTGTTTCTGGTATAAAATGGAAGCCACCATATGAGAACTCCCTCGATGTCCTATCACCACACCTCTTATGTACCCACGTCTCCACCTACTCTCCTCTTTCTCTCCTGTCACAACAGACAGTTCTCTCCTCTTCCCAAAGGCGAATCAACCTCAGTACCACTCCCTACCACCTTCTCTCTTGTGTATACTACCTAATTCTCATTAGCTTTAAAATTAGCTCAAAAATCTCTCCTCTTGAAAATCAGTCCTTTAAATTTTTGACTTTCTGCTCTAGCCTTGTGTGTCTTCTTCCTTGCATCGCCATACTTCTTGAAAGGCAGGCCTGGGTTCACTGTCTCCACTTCTCACCTCCTTGTAATTCCTCAGTCTACACCCACCTGGCTTCACCACGGCACCCAAGATGCTCTCACCTTGGTTACCAATCACCTCCTTATTATTAAATCAAACAACACTCTTCATTCCTTATCTTAATGGAATATAGTAGCAGTAGACATGATTAAAGACTCCCTCTTTCTTGACATTGTCTCCCACCTTAGTGTCTGGGATGTCGCCTTCTCCCGGTTTTCCTCCTGGTTTTCTGGCCACTCCCTTTCTTTCTCCTTTGCCAATATCTTAAACATTGATGTTCCTTGGGATCCTCTTTTCTCCTCTCTCCACACATTGTGTAGGTCATAGCCATTCCATGACTTCAGCCATCTTCTGTATGCTGACTACTCCCGCATCTCAATCTCTATGCAAAGTTCCAGAACTCTCTAGTGAATACTTTTGACTAGAGTGACCCACGGGCACTAAACACTCAAAAATCAAATTAATAATTTTTCCTATCAAGTAACTATTTCCCATCCTGGCCTTTTGCCTCTGTGAATGGAATTAACATACACTCAACATCCAGCTATGCCTACCCCAAATCTGAATCCTCTCTCGTTTTCACCATCCACGTCCAATGATCAAGTCCCATACTTTCCATTGTATTAACAGGTTTCAAATCTACCTTCATCTCTTTATTCCCACCACAACGTTCTTAGTAGAGTTACCATCTGCCTCTTGGATAGTTTATCGTGATACGTTCTTGGAACAGATCCTTCCCTCACAGCCCTCAGAAGGAACCAATCTTATTGATACCTTGACTTCTGACTTCTAGCCTGAGACGATAAATTTCGGTTGTTTAAGCCACCCAGTTTGTGGTGCTTTGTTCCAGTAGCCTGAGCAAACCAATACAGTTCCCAAATTCTTCTCTTACTCTTCCCACATCTCCACCCCCAAATCCTCCTGCATCCTTGCTCTAATCTCTAGCCATCCTGAACTCTTACATCCCCCCGAACATGGTAAATTCTCACTTACCTCCAGGCCTTTGCACAGGCTATTCCGTCTGCCTAGAATGCTCTTTTCCTCCACTTTTGCCTGGCTAACACCTATGTCATTAATATCTTGGCTTGGTGGTCTCCTCTGGAGAGTCCTTCTTGACCATCCTCCCTACTCCAGATTTTATTAAATGCTCTTCATATAGCACATAGTATGCACTTACTCTCACGTAAGCACTTATCAGACTATGTTGTCATTCCTTATTTACTAGTTTGTCTCCTTCACTAGATGACAAATTTCATGAAAGCAGGGGTTGGATAGTGGAAACCTGTAGTTTGTGTCTTTTGAACATCATTCTCCCTTTTGGTAATAGCACCCCAATTTTCCCTTAGAAAATCTTACTTCCTCCACTGTCAGTCCATGAGATTCAAATGGTCCCACTCCACAACTCAGGCCTAACAGGGGAGAATCCAGGCCCTGTGAATGAATTTGTGCCACATTCTCATGGCCACAGGGATGGGCGTGACTGTCCCGACCACTGAGAGACAGCTATGAGATTTCTGCTGGGGCTCTTAGGAATGAGAAACTCGCTTTTTGCTGAAATTGCTAATTTGGCAAGATGTACACCTGGGGCTGCTGGCAACCTGTGGCCTTCTTGCTTGTATATGGGGAGAGCTCACCAGAAAGGAAGGCCAGAGAAGGGAAGGCAGAGCCGTAGCATGGAATGAGATCGATTCTAGTCCAAACTCGGGCTTGAGAGCCCCATTCCAGGGCTCTTTTCACAATATCTCATTCCTCCACGTGGTTTATAGATTCACTGATGAGAAAACGACAGCAATAAATTCGAGAGAAAAAGCAGATAAAAACTGGGTCTTACCTGGGAAGCCTATACATGTAGGTCATCTTGATGCCCAATTTATTCTACATTATTATTCAGTTCACTCAGTTGCTAAACTGATGAAAACATTGGGTTGCTAAGTTGTGTGTGTGCGTGTATTTTAATAGCATATATGTAATGTGAGATTCTGTTTCTTTTCACAAAAGTCCTTATTTTATTAGCATGGCCAGTGGTAAGTGCAGGCAGGGCAGTGTTTAACATCAGGGACTTTGGAGATAAGTAAAGTTTGACTACCGGCTCTGCCATTTTTTACGGGTGTAACCTTAAGCAATTTACTTAGACTCTCTGAACCTCAGTTTCTTCATATGGGGTAAAATGGGGATGACAAGACTACCGCTTGATGGGGCCATTGGGGGAGACCATGAAATACACATAAAGGGCATAACGCGGTCCCTGGGATGTCAGACAGTCAAGACAAAAGCTTACACCTCTTTTTAAAATAAACATTTTATTTAAAAATATATATATATTTTTAAAAAGAACACATGCCAACTTTGGTATTTTAGCCATTGCTTCTTTTCTCTTCCTGGTAACCCACATTTCTTTCTGGTTATGTATAGTTGAGCAAAGGAGACCAACATGAAAACAACACACAGGGACCCTGCAGAGAATGTATGCTTGGTCTTTTGATTTCTTTACAAAGAGCCTCTTGGAGTTTCACCGAGGGAGGATTTCAAGCAGCCAGCCGTGCACCGCCCTCTATGCTCACTGCAGGCCCACTGGAGAGGAACTCTGGGGAGCAGTGTGGGTTCTCTTCCTTTGGAAAACATTAGAATAGCAGCCAGGATCCCCATCGTTTTTCTCCCTTTTTCCACAAACACCCGACAGCTGTGAAACCACTTAGAGGAAACTCATGTTACCAGTGTCCACGAAGGGAGCAGGTGACTAGAATAAGCACAAGACAAGTTCAGAAGTTTGTTTGTCTTAATCCACAAAAGAAATCACCAAATCCTAGAATCAGAAGGGAACTTACTCGTACGTTATCAAACCCAATGAGCCCTATTACAATTTCCTTGGCAGATGATAGAGAAATTCTTCCCAGATCTCTTCCCGTCTTAAAATCTTCTCTTCATGGAAAGTCTCAACCTAGGCAGGGCTGTTCTGAAAATGTGGATTCTAGAATCAAACCCAGCTCCTTAACATGACCTGAGTAGCTCTCAGAACTATAGAACCATCTTGTTCCAGGACCTGGACTCTGTGTGTCTATTAATGTCATCTGCCAAATAAAGCAGTAGCAATTTCAGCATCTGAGCCACCCTGCTGGTTTATACTGGATTTATAGGAAAACAAAGACCCCAGATTCTTTTCACTCCAAGTTCTCTCATATCTGATAGGAAACAGAGTGTCAGCATTTGTAGGCTTCCCACTGTGAGGAAGGCAGCAAAGGCCTGAAGAGGGAGGCCAAGCTGCCTTCACAGTCTGGAGCTTTTCTCCTAAAAAAAAAGGAGGCTCACCATGGAGACCCCTCCCTGCCAGTAGATGTCACTTTTGTCTAGAGACCTTGTTATGAAGATTGAGGATGGGGGATGAGGGAAAAAGAATGTTTCCTTCACCCTTCCCTGATTTTCAAGGGGCTTCAGAATCCAGCAGTGAGAACAAACCCTAAAACTCGCACAGACATTTAAGTGGTGGGAGATTGCAAGATCTCCAAGTGATGTAGTGCTGCTGTTTGATCAGAGAGAGAGACAAGAAAAGAATGTTAGTGTGGGAGACAGCTTTTAGCTAAAAAGGGGCCCTCCACTCTCTTTTCTGAAAAAATGAAGACTCTCTTTTGTTTTTTGGTCAGAGCTAAAGGGTTTCTGGTTAGAGGACTGGGCGAATCTCCATGTTCTTACTATAGCAACTGCAACTATCAGTCACTCAAAATCTGAAACCTCTGTACTGTGTCCATTTGGTATCGGATATCTGGGGATTTGTGTGCTTTGCACAGGTTAGACATCAAGTAATTATCCATTAGATGAGTAAATTTGATGTGGGAGTTTCAGCCAGTCCAGGATCTATTTCTAGAAGAGCTGATAGAGTTTTAAATAAATAATTTTTGAAAAAGACTGTCTTGAGTACTTGGGATAGATTTTATTTTATTATTTTTTTTTTCAGATTGGAATAAATGTTCTGAATGGCAAAAGGCTCCACTTCACAGATTCTTGATTATTCAGGAGGACACACTGTTGGTTTCATCATTTACTGGTGCAATCATTGCATTGTTCAGAATGACTTCTCATCTAAAAATTTGTGATTCACTTTTCATAAAACAATGTCTGAGTTGAACTGAGAGGTTTACAGATCAGGAATTTGGGACATTTCTTCCTTCTTCCTTTTCCTCCTTCTTCCTTTTCTTCCTTCCCTCCTTCCCTCCTTCTTTTCTCCATTCTCTCTCTCTGAATTTCGGGCTTTTCTTTCCTTCCACCCTTCCTTCCTTCCTTCCTTCCTTCCTTCCACCCTCCCTCCCTCTCTCCCTTATAATAGATCGTGTGTCATTTCAATGACACTGTTAGCAGCAGGACTACTACTGAAGAGCACTGGCTTAATGAAAGCATTTGCACAAGTGAATCTTCTGACTCCGTTGGATAAGTGTGAAGCTACGGGACTGCAGCACTATTGGGAATAGCTGCAAACGTCTGCAGGTCTCCTTCACCATGTGGGTTCCAGGAGTCTGAAGAAAACCACATGTGGTTATTTTTAGGCTCTAAGAGCATTAAGAAATGTGAACGTGGCCATCCTCATAAGTCTCTGTACATCTTTTAGTACATCTGTACATCTTTTAGTCATGCCCAATTTGTCACCAGGGAAGA